CAGTCCTGCTGCTGGGTTGTTGCCCTCCTACGGCCTCCTCCACGTCTCCAGATGTACTGGCCTGTCTCCTGGTAGCGCCTCCATGCTCTGGACACTAAGCTGACAGACACAGCAAACCTTCTTGCCACAGCTCGCATTGATGTGCCATCCTGGATGAGCTGCACTATCTGAGCCACTTGTGTGGGTTGTAGACTCCGTCTCATGCTACCACTAGAGTGAAAGCACCGCCAGCATTCAAAAGTGACCAAAACATCAGCCAGGAAGCATAGGAACTGAGAAGTGGTCTGTGGTCACCACCTGCAAAACCAGTCCTTTATTGGGGGTGTCTTGCTAATTGCCTATAATTTCCACCTGTTGTCTATTCCATTTGCACAACAGCATGTGACATTTATTGTCAATCAGTGTTGCTTCCTAAGTGGACAGTTTGATTTCACAGAAGTGTGATTGACTTGGAGTTACATTGTGTTGTTTAAGTGTTCCCTTTATTTCTTGGAGCAGTGTATATACTAAATGGAAGAAAACTAATTTAAGTACCAAATCCTACGATGTGCCCTAAGGCCAGGTTGATGAAACAGACTAGACATGTGTTTACATGGCCTGAAGCAGCTCTGTCTGTATAAATACACCTCTGTCTGTATATGTAGGAGACAGAATTGGCAGCACCACCTAGCAGCAGCAGCCGCACACAACACTCCCTTTCTTCCTGTAGCTACCTCAGCCAGCCCACACTCACTCAGTATCAACATCAGCCACAGTTGTACATACAGTCCAGTAGTACAGCAGCTGTAGTTCAGTGTACATAATACCCATTTGTCTATGTCTATCTGCATGTACTGTATGCATACATTTTTGCTTGATAGAGAACTAAATATATACAGCTCGATTCATAGCAACTCCATGGTCACTCCTATAATCACCCCTATAATCAACCTGGTCTCAGAGCATTTTGTATTATTCTGTAAGTAAATATGTACCACCCATTTAGTTTGAGATGTTACGTTTCGTATGGTATGTATTAATTTGTGGATGTCCATCACCCATTTCGTATGATATGTTACCAATTACTATTCGTATTATATGTTTTGAATTTGCTAAATGTACAATATGTTACGAATTTTCTAAATGTATAATGTGTTACGAATTCTAGCCAGGTGGCTAGGTGGCTAATGTGAGCTAGCTCGCTAACTTTAGCTAGGCTAGGGGTTAGAGGTTAGGGTTAAGGTTAGGGTTAAGTGTAGGAGTTTGGTTAGAGGGTTAGGGGAAGGGTTAGCTAAAATGGTTAAAGTTAGGGTTAAGTGAAGGGTTAGCTAAAAGGGTTAAGGTTAGGGTTAGAGGAAGGGTTAGCTAACATGCTAAATAGTTCTAAAGTAGCAAAAAAAAAGTAAGCAGTTGAAAAGTTGCTAATTAGCTACAATGCTAAAGTCGTCCGTGATGAGATTCGAACTCACACATTTTGGAGTGCTAGACGTTCCCGTTATACGCCAACCCATCCGCCCCGACCAACCACTGTCCTTCCGTTTTTGCCTTAAGTAACCAGGGTTGGGTAGGTTACTTTCTAAATGTAATCCGTTAGTTACTTGTCCAAAATTGTAATCAGTAATTTAACTTTTGGATTACCCAAACTCATTAACCTAATCTGATTACTTTCAGTTACGTTTGGATTACCTTCTCCTTAAGAGGCATTAGAAGACGACAAAAAGGATCCATCTAGCGCATTTGGTGTGTAATCATAGTGATCTCTGACTTGTGGTAACACTCGCTCAGGTGGAACAAACTTAAACTTGCAGCTTTTTTCAATACTGAATTGAATGTAATTGTCACGATCGTCTAAGGAGGAGGACCAAGGCGCAGCGTTGAAGGTGAACATATTATTTATTTAGAATGATCACACGATCAAAACAACAACGATAACGTGACGTCTACGGTTTAACACAAACCAAATCAGAACAAGATCCCACAAAGAATAGCTGAACACAGCCTACCTAAGTATGGCTCCCAATCAGAGACAACGAACCACAGCTGCCTCTGATCGGGAACCACTTCTGACCAACATAGATCTATATGATCTAGAACAAAACCCAAAACCTAGACAACACAACATAGAAGCTACCCCGTGAAACTAAACATAGAAAATCCACACCCTGGCTCAACATTTCAGAGTCCCCAGAGCCAAGGCGTGACAGTACCCCCCCCCAAAGGCGCGGACTCCGACCGCGCCAACAGAACACCACAGGGGAGGGACCGGGTGGGCACTCCGCCTAGGCGGCGGATCCGGCTCCGGGCCTGATCCCCGCTCCCTCTCCAACCCCCCAAAGTACCCCTGGTCCGGTCTGGCCCCGCTGACCGGAGCTGGACTGCACACTGGTGGAGCGGATTGCTCTAGCTCCGGCGTGAAGCATCTGACCGGTGCCGGACCAGCCACCGGTGGAACAGGCACGGGCCGTGCCGGACTGACGACGCACACCACTGGCTTGGTGTGGGGAGCAGGAGCAGGCCGCGCCGGGCTGACGAAACGCACCCCTGACTTGGTGCGTGGAGGAGGAACGGGCCTTACCAGGCTGACGACTCGCACCCCTGGCTTGGTGCGTGGAGGAGGAACGGGCCTTACCAGGCTGACGACGCACAGCGTAGGCTTGGTGCGTGGAGGAGGAACGGGCCTTACCAGGCTGACGACGCACACCGTAGGCTTGGTGCGTGGAGCAGGGACAGGCCTTACCAGGCTGACAACGCACACCGTAGGCTTGGTGCGTGGAGGAGGAACGGGCCTTACCAGGCTGACGACGCACACCGTAGGCTTGGTGCGTGGAGCAGGGACAGGCCGGACAGGGCTGGCGACGCACACCGTAGGCTTGGTGCGTAGAGCAGGAACGGGCCGTACCGGGCTGACGAAGCGCACCACTGACTTGGTGCGAGTGGCAGGAACAGGCCGGACCGTACTGGGAACACACACCACTGGCCCTACGTGGGGATCAGGAACAGGCCGGACCGGACTGGCAACACACGCCAGTACCTCTCGCCGTGCCTCTACATCCTCCCTCCCCCTGGTGACCAGTGACTCCCGTAACCTGGCGGCCTCCTGCTGCCCCGTCGTCCACGGCGTTAGCCCCCCCTAAAAAATGTATGGGCTTCACTCCTACCCGTGGCCAAGGCCTCCATCCCTCTTGCCAGACTCGCACTCATCTCCTCCCAAGTCCATCCTCTCGCCTCGTCATGCTGCTTGATCCAGTCGAGGTGGGATCTTCTGTCACGATCGTCTAAGGAGGAGGACCAAGGCGCAGCGTTGAAGGTGAACATATTATTTATTTAGAATGATCACACGATCAAAACAACAACGATAACGTGACGTCTACGGTTTAACACAAACCAAATCAGAACAAGATCCCACAAAGAATAGCTGAACACAGCCTACCTAAGTATGGCTCCCAATCAGAGACAACGAACCACAGCTGCCTCTGATCGGGAACCACTTCTGACCAACATAGATCTATATGATCTAGAACAAAACCCAAAACCTAGACAACACAACATAGAAGCTACCCCGTGAAACTAAACATAGAAAATCCACACCCTGGCTCAACATTTCAGAGTCCCCAGAGCCAGGGCGTGACAGTAATTGAGAAAACAGAAAGGTGTCATAATATAGTTCTTCGCAAACATCCTTTCTGAATTTAAAAGTAATCCAAGAAGTAATCATCTAGTTTTTCAAAAGTATCTGTCATCTAATTACAATATTTTTGCTGGTAAAGTAATTGATTAGTTCATTTTTTTGTAATCTGATTACATGTAAACAGTTACTCCCCAACCCTGAGTAACCATCTGTATTATGTAACCATACCAAACATAACATACACTACATCCTGAAACCATGGGCATAATCATGGTCCCCTCTTTGCTGCTATAACAGCCTCTACTCTTCTGGGAAGGCTTTCCACTAGATGTTGGAACATTGCTGCGGGGACTTGCTTCTATTCAGCCACAAGAGCATTAGTGAGGTCGGGCACTGATGTTGGGCGATTAGTCCTGGCTCTCGCAGTCGGCGTTCCAATTAATCCCAAAGGTGTTTGATGGAGGGCAGAAATTATAAAATATTAAAGCATTAGACCTCTCACTAAATGTGTTAGCCATATAATAGTTATATTTAAGGGGCCTCCCGAGTGGTGCAGCGGTCTAAGGCACTGCATTGCAATGCTTGAGACGTCACTACAGACCCGGGTTTGATACCAGGCTGTGTCACAAACTGGATGGGCTTCAGAGATAGATAGATAGATAGATAGGAGGGGTTGAGCACTTGTTGGCTGCTTTTCCTTCACTCTGCGGTCCAACTCATCCCAAACCATCTCAATTGGGTTGAGGTCGGGTAATTGTGGAGGCAAGGTCATCTGATGCAGCACTCCATCACTCTCCTTCTTCGACAAATAGCCCTTACACAGCCTGGAGGTGTGTTGGGTCATTGTCCTGTTAAAAAACGAATTATAGTCCCACTAAGCCCAAATCAGATGGAATGGCGTATCGCTGCAGAATGCTGTGGTAGCCATGCTGGTTAAGTGTGCCTTGAATTCTAAATAAATCACAGACAGTGTCACCAGCAAAGCACCCCACACACCATAACACCTCCTCCTCCATGCTTCACTGTGGGAAATACACATGCGGAGATCATCCGTTCACCCGCACTGCGTCTCACAAAGACACGGCGGTTGGAACCAAAAATCTCCAATTTGGACTCCAGACCAAAGGACAGATTTCCACCGGTCTAATTGCTCATGTTTCTTGGCCCAAGCAAGTCTCTTCTTATTATTGGTGTCCTTTAGTAGTGGTTTCTTTGCAGCAATTCGACTATGAAGGCCTGATTCACACAGTCTCTTCTGAACAGTTGATGTTGAGATGTGTCTGTGACTTGAACTCTGTGAAGCATTTATTTGGGCTGCAATTTCTGAGGCTGGTAACTCTAATTATCTTTTGTATATATAGTGTATCATACTAAATGGAGTGTCAGAATAATACTACATGCTCTGAGACCAGGTTGCTATAATAAGCACGCACACCCATAGTACATACAGTACATACAGTACACATGCCCCACCCACAGCCACACATATGCAGGTGTACAACCGTGAACACATGCCCATTCAACCCCCCTAGCCCTCCCTCTCTAATTACACACACACACACACACACAACCCAACCCCCCATCCCCCCTCTCACCAGCCAGGAAGAGGTTGATGTACTGGTTGCCCCCCAGGTTGACGGAGCCCAGGGAGAAGACGTAGTAGCCCAGGCTGCCAATGAACCACACTGCCCACACTGTCACTGTCCTCCAGGCCATCCTCCATGTCCCAAACAGGTCCAGGATGCTCAGCTTTCTCTCGGGCTCCGCTGGCTGGGCTCTCCCCGGTGCCACCTCCTTCTCCAGCAGAACCTCCTGGGGCTCCAGGAGGTCCTCAGCCCTCAGGCGGCCAGGCTCCAGGCCGTTGAAGCGGGCTATGGAATCCAGCAGGACCTGGGTCTCCTGGAGCCTCCCCTTAGCCATCAGGTAGAAGGGTGTCTCGGGAAACTTCCAGCAGAAGAAGAGGAAGGGCGAGGTGCAGGTGGAGAGGATGATCTGGTAGATCCACCAGGTGCGCACTAGGTAGCCCGTGATCGCCACCATCATGACGCCTGCGGCGAAGGCGGCGTGCACGTGCATGGACGTCCACGTGCGCACCTTGTTGCCGGTGAACTCGGTCACGTACACAAACACCACCACAAGGTAGCCGCTGGACACCTGCGGAGAGAGAGGGAAGGAGGGAACATTTCAATTAGATCAACAAAGGGGACACAACGCAGAGCTTCAAATGCTGATCACATATAGGTTACACACACATGCACGCACGCGCACACACACACACACACTTGCGTTACTGTTGATGCAGAAAGTTAGTCTAATGCCTGAAAACGTAACTTATCCACTTATCCTGTATTTAGTAAACGGACCCTGAGATCAGACTGTAGTTAGAATCTACTGTAGATCAATTAGAATGACCCAGATACTAGCCCAGGCTAGCCATATCAACATTATCTAAGGCTGACTGCTTTGCATCCAGATGGAGAGAGGAAGACACTCATACAAACACATACAGTCCATAGACCTATACACATACAGTAAATATTTACACACATGCACACAGTCACATTGTCACGACATTTTCTTTTGGTTATGCTTTTTGTTTTCAAAAAGGTATTTTAAACGTGATCATATGTGTAGCTCTTCCATGAGCTATTCTGCTGATGATCAGCTATTCTTCAATAGGGCTGGCCCACAGAGGCATGTGACTACAACGCACCCACTGGGCACACACAGGAGCATGCGCAAACATGTTTACGGACATATTCAATATCTCCCTATCCCAGTCTGCTGTCCCCACTTGCTTCAAGATGTCCACCATTGCTCCTGTACCCAAGAAAGCAAAGGTAACTAAACGACCATCGCCTCGTAGCACTCACTTCTATCATCATGAAGTGCTTTGAGAGGCTAGTTAAGGATCATATCACCTCCACCTTACCTGACACACTAGACCCACTTCTAGTTGTATACCACCCCAATAGATCGAAAGACGATGCAATCGCCATCGCACTGCCCTATCCCATCTGGACAAGAGGAATACCTATGTAAGAATGCTGTTCATTGACTACAGCTCAGACTTCAACACCATAAGACCCTCCAAGCTCATCATTAAGCTCGGGGCCCTGGGTCTGAACCCCGCCCTGTGCAACTGGGTCCTGGACTTCCTGACGGGCCGCCCCCAGGTGGTGAAGGTAGGAAACAGCACCTCCACTCGACCTCTACAGGGCCACAGTGGAGAAGGTGAAAAGCTTCAAGTTCCTCAGTGTACACATTACTGATCATCTGAAATGGTCCACCCACACAGACAGTGTGGTGAAGAAGGCGCAATAGCGCCTCTTCAACCTCAGAAGGCTGAAGAAATTCAGCATGGCCCCTAAAACCCTCACAAACTTTTACAGATGCACCATCGAGAGCAATCTGTCGAGCTGTATCACCGCCTGGTACGACAACTGCACTGCCCTCAACCGCAGGGCTCTCCAGAGGGGGGCATCACCGGGGGCACACTGCCTGCCCTCCAGGACACCTACAGCACCAGATGTCACAGGAAGGCCAAAAAGATCATTAAGGACATCAACCACCCGCGCCACAGCCTGTTCATCCCGCTATCATCCAGAAGGCGAGGTCAGTACAGGTGCAACAAAGCTGGGACAGAGAGACTGAAAAACATCTTCTATCTCAAGGCCATCAGACGGTTAAATAGCCATCACCAGCCGGCCTCCTCCCAGTACCCTGCCCTGAACTTAGTCACTGTCACTAGCCGGCTACCACCCGGTTACTCAACCCTGAACCTTAGATGCTGCTGCCTTATGTACATACACATGGAATCACTGGCCACTTTAATAATGGAACACTGGTCACTTGAATAATGCTTAAATTCTGTTTTACTCATTTCATATGTAGAGTGGGGGAAAAAAGTATTTAGTCAGCCACCAATTGTGCAAGTTCTCCCACTTTAAAAGATGAGAGAGGCCTGTAATTTTCATCATAGGTACACGTCAACTATGACAGACAAATTGAGATTTTTTTTCTCCAGAAAATCACATTGTAGGATTTTTTATGAATTTATTTGCTAATTATGGTGGAAAATAAGTATTTGGTCACCTACAAACAAGCAAGATTTATGGCTCTCACAGACCTGTAACTTCTTCTTTAAGAGGCTCCTCTGTCCTCCACTCGTTACCTGTATTAATGGCACCTGTTTGAACTTGTTATCAGTACAAAAGACACCTGTCCACAACCTCAAACAAGTCACACTCCAAACTCCACTATGGCCAAGACCAAATAGCTGTCAAAGGACACCAGAAACAAAATTGTAGACCTGCACCAGGCTGGGAAGACTGAATCTGCAATAGGTAAGCAGCTTGGTTTGAAGAAATCAACTGTGGGAGCAATTATTAGGAAATGGAAGACATACAAGACCACTGATAATCTCCCTCGATCTGGGGCTCCACGCAAGATCTCACCCCGTGGGGTCAAAATGATCACAAGAACGGTGAGCAAAAATCCCAGAACCACACGGGGGGACCTAGTGAATGACCTGCAGAGAGCTGGGACCAAAGTAACAAAGCCTACCATCAGTAACACACTACGCCGCCAGGGACTCAAATCCTGCAGTGCCAGACGTGTCCCCCTGCTTAAGCCAGTATATGTCCAGGCCGGTCTGAAGTTTGCTAGAGTGCATTTGGATGATCCAGAAGAGGATTGGGAGAATGTCATATGGTCAGATGAAACCAAAATATAACTTTTTGGTAAAAACTCAACTCGTCGTGTTTGGAGGACAAAGAATGCTGAGTTGCATCCAAAGAACATCATACCTACTGTGAAGCATGGGGGTGGAAACATCATGCTTTGGGGCTGTTTTTCTGCAAAGGGACCAGGAAAACTGATCCGTGTAAAGGAAAGAATGAATGGGGCCATGTATCGTGAGATTTTGAGTGAAAACCTCCTTCCATCAGCAAGGGCATTGAAGATGAAACGTGGCTGGGTCTTTCAGCATGACAATGATCCCAAAACACCGCCCGGGCAACGAAGGAGTGGCTTCGTAAGAAGCATTTCAAGGTCCTGGAGTGGCCTAGCCAGTCTCCAGATCTCAACATCATAGAAAATCTTTGGAGGGAGTTGAAAGTCCGTGTTGCCCAGCGACAGCCCCAAAACATCACTGCTCTAGAGGAGATCTGCATGGAGGAATGGGCCAAAATACCAGCAACAGTGTGTGAAAACCTTGTGAAGACTTACAGAAACGTTTGACCTGTGTCATTGCCAACAAAGGGTATATAACAAAGTATTGAGAAACTTTTGTTATTGACCAAATACTTATTTTCCACCATAATTTGCAAATAAATTCATTAAAAATCCTACAATGTGATTTTCTGGATTTTTTCTAATTTTGTCTGTCATAGTTGACGTGTACATATGATGAAAATTACAGGCCTCTCTCATCTTTTTAAGTGGGAGAACTTGCACAATTGGTGGCTGACTAAATACTTTTTTCCCCCACTGTATATACTGTAGTCTAGTCAATGCTATCCTATTCAACTATTGCTGTATACTGTATATACTATTATATCCTACCTATCCTACAGATATACTACATATTCTATCCACATACTGTCCATAATGTCTATACATCCCATCACATACAGTATATATATATATATATATATATATATATATATATATATATATATATATATATATATATATATATATACAAAAGTATGTGGACACCCTTTCAAATTAGTGGATTTGGCTATTTCAGCCACACCCGTTGCTGACAAGTGTATAAAATCGAGTACACAGCCATGTAATCTATATAGCCAAACATTGGCAGTAAAATGGCCTTACTGAAGAGCAAAGTTACCTTCAACATGGCACCATCATAGGATGCCACCTTTCCAACAAGTCAGTTCGTCAAATTTCTGCCCTGCTAGAGCTGCCCCGGTCAACTGTAAGTCCTGTTATTGTGCAGTGGAAACGTCTAGGAGCAACAGCGGCTCAGCCGCGAAGTGGTAGGCAAGCTAACACAAGCTCACAGAACAAGACCGAAGAGTGCTGAAGCGCGAAGCGAGTAAAAAAGTATTTCCTCGGTTGCAACAATCACTAATGAGTTCCAAACCATCTCTGGAAGCAAAGTCATCACAAAAACTATTTGTTGGAAGCTTCATGAAATGGGTTTCCATTGCCGAGCAGCCGCACACAAGTCTAAGATCACCATGCGCAATGCCAAGCATCAGCTGGAGTCACAATTTCACTCTGGAGCAGTGGAAACACATTCTCTGGAGTGATGAATCACACCATCTGGCAGTCTGACGGACGAATCTGGGTTTGGCGGATGCCAGGAGAACGCTACCTGCCCGAATGCATAGTGCCAACTGTCTGGGGCTATTATTCATGGTTCGGACTAGGCCACTCAGTTCCAGTGAAGGGAAATCTTAATGCTACAGCATACAATGACATTCTAGACGGTTCTGTGCTTCCAACTTTGTTGCAACAGTTTGGGGAAGGTCCATACAGAAATGGTTTGTCGATATCGGTGTGGAAGAACTTCACTGGCCTGCACAGAGCCCTGACCTTAACCCCATTGAACACCTTTGGGATGAATTGAAACTGCGACCCAGGCCTAATCGCCCAACATCAGTGCCCCACCTCACTAATGCTCTTGTGGCTGAATGGAAGCAAGTCCTAGCAGCAATATTCTAACATGTAGTGGAAAGCTGCAATATCCAAAAGCCTGAAGGTACCACGTTCATCTGTACAAAAAATAGTACGCAAGTATAAATACCATCGGACCATGCAGCGGTCATACCGCTCAGGAAAGAGACGCGTTCTGTCTCCTAGAGATGAATGTACTTTGGTGCGAAAACTGCAAATCAATCCCAGAACAACAGCAAAGGACCTTGTGAAGATGCTGGAGGAAACAGGTACATATCTATATCCACAGTAAAACTAGTCCTATATCGACATAACCTGAAAGGCCGCTCAGCAAGGAAGAAGCCACTGCTCCAAAACCGCCATAAAAAAAGCCAGACTACGGTTTGCAACTGCACATGGGGACAAAGATCGTACTTTTTGGAGAAATGTCCTCTGGTCTGATTAAACAAAAATAGAACTGTTTGGCCATAATGACCATTGTTATGTTTGGAGGAAAAAGGGGGGCTTGGAAGCTGAAGAACAACATCCCAACCATGAAGCACGGGGGTGGCAGCATCCTAACCGACTTGTCAAAACTATAGTTATAGTGGTTGAAAAACAAGTTTTAATGACTCCAACCTAAGTGTATGTAAACTTCTGACTTCAACTGTATATACAGTACCAGTCAAAAGTTTGGACACACCTGTAAAATTGACTGTGTCCATAAAAAGTACACTGCTCAAAAAAATAAAAGGAACACTTAAACAACACAATGTAACTCCAAGTCAATCACACTTCTGTGAAATCAAACTGTCCATTTAGGAAGCAACACTGATTGACAATACATTTCACATGATGTTGTACAAATGGAAAAGACAACAGGTGGAAATTATAGGCAATTAGCAAAACACCCCCAATAAAGAAGTGGTTCTGCAGGTGGTGAACACAGACCACTTCTCAGTTCCTATGCTTCCTGGCTGATGTTTTGGTCACTTTTGAATGCTGGCGGTGCTTTCACTCTAGTGGTAGCATGAGACGGAGTCTACAACCCACACAAGTGGCTCAGGTTGTGAAGCTCATCCAGGATGGCACATCAATGCGAGCTGTGGCAAGAAGGTTTGCTGTGTCTGTCAGCGTAGTGTCCAGAGCATGGAGAACCTTCCAGAAGGACAATCATCTTTGCAGCACTCCACTAATCAGGCTTTTATGGTAGAGTGGCCAGACGGAAGCCACTCCTCAGTAAAAGGCACATGTCAGACCGCTTGGAGTTTGCCAAAGGGCACCTAAAGGACTCTCAGATTATGAGAAACAAGATTCTCTCGTCTGATGAAACCAAGATTGAATGCCAAGTGTCACGTCTGGAGGAAACCTGTCACCATCCCTACGGTGAAGCATGGTGGTGGCAGCATCATGCTGTGGGGATGTTTTTCAGCGGCAGGGACTGGGAGACTAGTCAGGATCGAGGGAAATATGAACGGAGCAAAGTACAGAGATCCTTGATTAAAACCTGCTCCAGAGCGCTCAGGACCTCAGACTGGGGCGAAGGTTCACCTTCCAACAGGACAATGACGTCCAAGCAGCTTTAATTTGAGGGTATTTCATCCATATCAGGTGAACTGTTTAGAAATTAAAGCAGTTTTTGTACATAGTCCCCACATTTTAGGGCCGCAAAAGTATTGGGACAAATTCAGTTATATGTGTATTAAAGTAATAAAAATGTAAGTATTTGGTCCCATACTCACAGCATACAATAGCTACATCAAGCTTCTGACTCTACAAATTTGTTGGATGCATTTGCTGTTTGTTTTGGTTGTGTTTCAGATTATTTTGTACCCAATAGAAATTAATGGTAAATAATGTATTGTGTCATTTTGGAGTCACTTTTATTGTAAATAAGAATATAATATGTTTCTAAACACTTCTACATTAATGTGGATGCTACCATGATTACGGATAATCCTGAATGAATCGTGAATAATGATGGTTGACAAAGTTACAGACGCACAAATATCATACCCCCCCCAAAATGCTAACCTCCTCTGTTATTGTAATGGTGAGAGGTTAGCATTTCTTGGGGGTATGATTTGTGTATCTGTAACTTTGTCAATCATCATTAACCTCATAGTCATTGTTTGATTTAAAATCCAAACTTTTGAAGTATAGAGCCAAAAGAAGAAAAAATGCTTCACTGTCCCAATACTTACAGAGGGCACTGTACATTTTGCCTTAGTGAAAAGCAACAGCTGTAGGACTTCTGCTCAGGGCAGAGGTGGAAGGGAGAAATTAAAACGTAAAGAGAGAGAGAGAGACATAGAGAGAGTGAGTGTTTATTTCACTTTTGTTTATAACCTCCCTGACCAAGGCCAATAAAGCCCCTTGAATTGAGAGAGAGAGAGAGAGAGAGAGAGAGAGAGAGAGAGAGAGAGAGAGAGAGAGGAGGAGAGAGGAGAGGAGAGAGAGAGAGAGAGGAGAGAGAGGAGAGAGAGAGAGAGAGAGAGAGAGAGAGAGAGAGAGAGAGAGAGAGAGAGAGAGAGGCACAACATAGGGCTAGTACGACCTGATATTCCTCTTAGGCACATAATCAAATACTAACAAATACAAATACTGGATGAATACTAACTAATGTATATAACTGCTACCAACTTGAGATGTGCACTAATAATCCACAACTTCTACATTCAGCATACAATTACTGTATGTTTATGGGAGATTATTCTGAGATTTCAAGTAAAGTGCATGTCTCAAGTTTGGATTTGGCCATAAAATATTATTTCATTGAGTGTCTCCTTACGTCATCCTGCATTCCTTACACTACATTTCACTCCACATGTGTTTATAATTAGGCTCTTACACGCGCGCACACACACACACACACACACACACAAACACACAAACACACGCACACACACACGCACACACACACACACACACACACACTTACCATGGCGAGCAGGAAGCGGATGACCATAAATAGGTAGTAGTTTCCCGTGAATGCCACGCTTACACCAAACACAAACTGGCAGAGGCTGGTGATCATCAGGACCCTCCGTCTGCCAACCCTGAGAGAGAGAAATGTAGAGAGAGAGAGACAGGGATAGAGACAGGGATAGGGACAGGGAGGGAGAAAAGTTCGGATTTCTTGTTAGGGTCTATATTTGAATAGTTGAACAAAGGCCTGTGTTGTGGTTGACTGTCATACTCATTGACTAATCCACATTTTAAAAAATACTACAGTTTACTATAGAATACTACAGTACTTACTATAGAATTTTGTAGTAAACTATAGTATACTGTAGAATACTATACTACACACGGTGATATCCCTTGATCATGTGTAGTACTTAGTATAGAATTGTGTAGTATACTGTAATATACTATAGTAAATACTACAGTTTTATCCACACAAAAAAACATGTTAAATTGTTTTACTATAGCAAATACTACAGTATTCAATTTGCATATACCCTGTCCATTCCCCTCCCCCATATCCCAATTTGTGCCACCCGTAAGTAAGAAACCTACATGCCAAGTATAGACCATATATTGTGTTCCCTACAGGTTACAGTATAACTCTGTTCAGCACACAGTCCTACCTACCAACCTACCTACCTACCTACAGGTTATGGAATACAATTTATTTTAGTATTTCTCCCGTAGCGTTCCTCAAGGAGATACCCCCAACTTCTATGTCAAAGATAATACAATGTCCCTAAAAAACACTATAGTAAATACTACAGTATGCTGCAGTCCACAAAAACACTACAGTAAATACTACAGTACATGAATACACCACACCAAAAGCTTGATTTTATGGTCGTTTTAAAACAAATTCTACGTAGTAATGATTTATGTTCACTACTTGGTCAATTGATTTGATAGCATGTTTAATCTATGCAAATAAATGATATGAATTGATAGTTCACCTCTCTGTTTTCTTTTATTCTGTAATAGGGCATATTGTAACCATGTGTTAAGCTAATCAATTCAAAGTTTATTTATGATACAGCATGCTACACAATATAATGAAATGCTACAGTATACTACAGTCGGCAAAAACACTATAGTAATTACTATTGTATATACTACTATTTTTTTACAACAGTATTTATACTATAGTAAACTGTAAATACTACAGTATACTACAATATTTACTGTAGTGTTTTTGCCGCAGTGAAACGTACAGTAAAGTCAGCTAAAACACCACAGTGAATATTATAGTATTCCTACCATAGTACACACTTATAGTAAACTCAGCAAAAAAAGAAACGTCCTCTCACTGTCAACTGCGTATATTTTCAGCTAACTTAACATGTGTAAATATTTGTATGAACATAACAAGATTCAACAACTGAGACATAAACTGAACAAGTTCCACAGACATGTGACTAACAGAAATGAAATAATGTGGCCCTGAACAAAGGGGGGGTCAATAATGTGGCCACCAGCTGCCCGTTCTTGCTGTGAGATATTACCCCACTCTTCCACCAAGGCACCTGCAAGTTCCCGGACATTTACATTTACATTTTAGTCATTTAGCAGACGCTTTTATCCAGAGCGACTTACAGTTAGTGAGTGCATACATTTTCATACTGGTCCCCCGTGGGAAACGAACCCACAACCCTGGCGTTGCAAACGCCATGCTCTACCAACTGAGCTACACGGGACTATGACAGGACATTTCTGGGGGGAATGGCCCTAGCCCTCACCCTCCGATCCAACAGGTCCCAGACGTGCTCAATGGGATTGAGATCTGGGCTCTTCGCTGGCCATGGCAGAACACTGACATTCCTGTCTTGCAGGAAATCACGCACAGAACGAGCAGTATGGCTGATTGTCACGCCCTGGCTCTGGGACTCTGTTATGTTGAGCCAGGGTGTGTTGTTTCTATGTGTTTTGTGTGCTAGGGTTATATTCTAGTTCATTTGTTTCTATGTTGGCCGGTGTGGTTCTCAATCAGAGGCAACGTGTATCAGCTGTTGCTTGTTGTCTCTGATTGGGAACCATACTTAGGCAGCCTGTTTTCCACAGTGTGTTGTGGGATCTTGTTCCGTATGGTTTGTATTGTAACCAAGGACTTCACGTTTCGTATCGTTTGTTGTTTTGTTCGTGTGATCATTCAAATTAAAAGTATGTTCGCATTCCACGCTGCGCCTTGGTCCTCTGTGTATGACGATCGTGACACTGATGGCATTGTCAAGCTGGAGGGTCATGTCAGGATGAGCCTACATGAGGGAGGAGGATGTCTTCCCTGTAACGCACAGCGTTGAGATTGCCTGCAATGACAACAAGCCCAGTCCGATGATGCTGTGACACACCGCCCCAGACCATGACGGACCCACCACCTCCAAATCGTTCTCGCTCCAGAGTACAGGCCTCGGTGTAACGCTCATTCCTTCGACGACAAATGTGAATCCGACCATCACCCCTAGTGAGACAAAACTGCGACTCCTCAGTGAAGAGCACTTTTTACCAGTCCTGTCTGGTCCAGCGACGGTGGGTTTGTGCCCATAGGCGACGTAGTTTCCGGTGATGTCTGGTGAGGACCTGCCTTACAACAGGCCTACAAGCCTTCAGTCCAGCCTCTCTCAGCATATTGCGGGCAGTCTGAGCACTGATGGAGGGATTGTGCATTCCTGGTGTAACTCGGGCAGTTGTTGTTGCCATCCTGTACCTGTCCCGCAGGTGTGATGTTCGGATGTACTGATCCTGTGCAGGTGTTGTTACGCGTGGTCTGCCGCTGCGAGGACGATCAGCTGTCCGTCCTGTCTCCCTGTAGCGCTGTCTTAGGCGTCTCACAGTACGGACATTGCAATTTATTGCCCTGGCCACATCTGCAGTCCTCAAGCCTCCTTGCAGCATGCCTAAGGCACATTCACGCAGATGAGCAAGGACCCTGGGCATCTTTCTTTTGGTGTTTTTCAGAGTCAGTGTCCTAAGTTTTCATAACTGTGACCTTAATTGCCTACCGTCTGTAAGCTGTTAGTGTCTTAACGACCGTTCCACTGGTGCATGTTCATTAATTGTTTATGGTTCATTGAACAAGCATGGGAGACAGTGTTTAAACCCTTTACAATGAAGATCTGTGAAGTTATTCTGATTTTTACGAATTATCTTTGAAAGACAGGGTCCTGAAAAAGGGACGTTTCTTTTTTTGCTGAGTTTATTTTGTGGGGAGCCATAGGTTTTAATGACATACTTCCTGTATTTTCAGAAGAGGCCCTCTGCTATTTACTGTAGCTGACGACATGGGAAGAGTTGAGAGAAAACGGTTTAATGTCACACAAGCTCATATGATGAGTGAAATAATACCTTGGGTGGCAGGTAGCCTAGTAGTTAAGAGCATTGGGCCAGTAACCGAAAGGTCGCTGGTTTGAATCCCTGAGCTGACTAGGTGAAGAATCTGGCGATGTGCCCTTGAGCAAGGCACTTAACCATAATTGCTCCTCTGCTAAAATATAAATAAGGAGCATTGTATTGTTGACTGGGAATTGCACATTGCCACATAGAAGGTTTGTGTCTGCACGTGACTCATGGCATTGATCCAGAACAAATATTGGTTGAAATACTGGTAGACACAAGCTGGGAGCAGCAGCCCTGGGAGCAGTTTGGGTTGAAATTTCACATCGCTAGTATCACTACACAACAGGAGTTGCTGAGTTTATAGGTGTTTGTGTGAATGAGTATGTGATTTGCATGTGACTCCAGACCAAATAAAACAAATCAATGAACAAGTTGGCTGATGATGCATGCATACTGCCCCAGTGTGTGAGTCTGAAAGTAGCAGTTTGTTTAGTTCCACTGAATACAAAGGATGTAGTCTTATAATGCTATGCTATACTATATATAAGAATTAGAGGACGTCTAGTGTCATACGGTTTACCCGGTCGTACAATAGCATAAGAATTGGATGACTTACCTAGTCATACATTTTGGAGAATGTATAGTATTGCATGTCTTTATCTGAGACCAGGTTGCTTATTGCGCAGTAACAAAAGGATAATTACGGGGAGAATATATGTTGGCGGTTACGACAAAGGTTTAGAAAACTAAAACGACAAAGGTTAGGTGAATTTACGTAGCAGTTTAGGTGAATTGGGTTAAGTTTCAAATAAGTGTTAGGGGAACGGTTAGCTAAAATGCTACAGTTGTCCCCGACATGACTGGAACATGCAACCTTTAGATTGCTAGACTGTCGCGGATTACGCCCACCCATCCTACCCTACCAACCTCCCTACTAGACTGTCGCGGATTATGCCCACCCATCTTCCCCGACCAACCACCCTACTTTCATTTCTGTCTCAAGTAACTAGACCATTAATAGGTATCATACATCTTGGAGGTGCTCAGAAATACGTAAAGTATATTTCGTATGGCTCTGAGGCCAGGCTTGAAATAGACATTCAAACTATCCAGCAGCCCATGATGATACAGTAGGGAGTGGGACACACCATCTCTCCTCAACCCAGCAAACGCTTTGGGTTTGTGGGCATGAGGGGTTCAACTGAGTGCCCTATTCTCTGGACAAAGGACACCCAGACCCAGACCCTAGCTAGACCCATGGACCTCCACTGGCCTTGGCAGGCCTCTCCTCCCCTGCTGGACAACTGGATGTTAGCCTGCCAGGTGACTTGATATGTCCCCACTGTCCCAAGAGTCTTGACGGGAACAACTCTCTGAACTGGCACACACTCACTGCTATCCAAACACACACTCTCACACTCTGTTCGCCTGTTTCGTGTTTGAGAAACAAGGATGTTCTAAGGACCTGCTGAGAATAAACCCTCACCCCTAACCCCTCACCTATATCCTCTTCACCCCTCCTTACTCAACGGTCACCTCTCACCCCTCTCCCCTCACCCATAACCTCGGCACTCCTCATATACCACTCATTACTTAAAATAGACTTCCATACCATCTATCGCTCTATCTTCCCCTCAATCATCACCCCTCTCCCCTCACCCATAAACTCTGCGCTCATAGCTTGCAACAGACCTCCATACCATCCCTGTATCCCTCTTCCCCTCACTCATCACCGCTCACTACATCTCTATGCTCCTTGTGCTTGTCTGGCAGGGAAACTTTATGTTTATAGTATTTTCTAGATACTTTCGATATTATTAATTCCCATGTTTGCTCTATGTCTGGAAATGCCATTCTCCGGAGCAAAGATCCCAATTTCAAACTCTCCAAAAGAGTTTTCTAAAAACTGGCAAAAATTGATATTAACTGAATAATTATCGTATGTAGTTTCTTGCAATAGCCCTCTGTGACTTTAAATAATATTTTTCTCAAAACATTGATTACTAAAAGATGTGTCCGGAAATTTGGTTGACTCCATCAGAATCCTAAATTAATCGGGAATGAGCAGGGTCAGATACAGTGCATTCAGAAAGTATTCATACCCCTCGACTTTTTCCACATGTTGTTACGTTACAGCCTTATTCTAAAATGGATTACATTAATTTCTTTCCTCATCAATCTACACACAATACCCCATAATGACAAAGCGAAAACAGGTTTTTAGAATTGTTTTCTAATTTATTATAAATAAAAAACTGAAATACCTTATTTACATAAGTATTCAGACCCTTTGCTATGAGACTCGAAATCGAGCTCAGATGCATCCTGTTTCCATTAATCATCCTTGAGATCTTTCTACAACTTGACCTGTGGTAAATTCAATTGATTGGACATGATTTGGAAAGGCACACACCTTTCTATATAAGGTCCCACAGTTGACAATGCATGTCAGAGCAAAAACCAAGCCATGAGGTCAAAGGAATTGTCCGTAGAGCTCCAAGACAGGATTGTGTTGAGCCACAGATCTGGGGAAGAGTACCAAAAAATTTCTGCAGCATTGAAGGTCCCCTTAAATGGAAGATGTTTGGAACCACCAAGACTCTTCCCAGAGCTGGCCGCCCGGCCAAACTGAGAAATCAGGGGGAGAAGGCCCTTGGTCAGGGAGTTTGCCAAAAGGCACCTAAGGACTCTCAGACCATGAGAAACATGATTCTCTGGTCTGATAAAACCAAGATTGAACTCTTTGGCCTGAATGCCAAGCGTCACGTCTGGAGGAAACCTGGCACCATCCCTACGGTGGAGCATGGTGGTGGCAGCATCATGCTGTGGGGATGTTTTTCAGCGGCAGGGACTGGGAGACTAGTCAGGATCGAGGCAAAGATGAATGGAGCAAAGTACAGTGAGATCCTTGATGAAAACCTGCTCCAGAGCACTCAAGACCTCAGACTGGGGTGGGTTCACCTTCCAACAGGACAACGACCATGAGCACACAGCCAAGACAATGCAGGGGTGGCTTCGGGACAAGTTCTGAATGTCCTTGAGTGGCCAAGCCAGAGCCTGGACTTGAACCCGATCGAACATCTCTGGAGAGACCTGAAAATAGCTGTGCAGCGACGCTCCCCATCCAACCTGACAGAGCTTGAGAGGATCTGCAGAGAGGAATGGGAGAAACTCCCCAAATACAGGTGTGCCAAGCTTGTAGCGTCATACCCAAGAAGACACAATGCTGTAATCGCTGCCAAAGGTGCTTTAACAAAGTACTGAGTAAAGGGTCTGAATAATTATGGAAATGTGATATTTACTTTTTTTTTTTCAATACATTTGCAAAAAAAACTGTTTTTGCTTGATCATTATGGGGTATTGTGTGTAGATAGATGAGTGAAAAAACAATTTAATCAATTTTACATTAAGGCTGTAATGTAACAAAATGTGGAAAAAGTCAAGGGGTCTGAATACTTTCCGAATGCACTGTATACCATAAGGACCCTCTTCATTACATGTAGTGCAACAAGATCACTCATCGTTTGTAAAGTTCTCTACTTTTGATAGATTTAAACAAACAATATTGGAATCACCATGGTCACAACCATAAACTGTCAACTCCATCCGCCTGATAGATTAGAATACAATATGAATTTTGGTTCAAATATGTTACATTTAATTAGGTTTTAGAGTCATAAAGCAACTGAGGAAAATATTATTTGCTATATGTATACCACTTGAATAAAAAATAAAAATGCAAGTTTTGTCAACTCCGTAAAACATCAACTCTGTCAGATTTTTTTCTAACTAGTGCTGAAAGATCTGCTAGCATGGTTATGTTTTTATTGGGGATTTTCAAATGAATAATTTTCCATATTTTACAAATGTGTGTATTGAACTTTTATTTTTAGAGGCAAAAATATGTCTGCTGTGATATCTGTTGTCAACTCTGTCAGTGGCTTGTCAACTACGTCACTGATGGCTAACCCTTAAGACCCTTAAGATCTATTTTTTTTTCAATATTGTTTAAAAATATTGTAATCACTGTTCTGCAACACATGCTTAAACAATTGAAATACAGTATTTGCTGTGATAGACCTAAGGGATGTTTGCTTTATAAATGTTGCTCTATGTTTGAAATCTAGAAAAACATGTCAAAATGCTAACAAAATTAGCCCTGGAGCATTTAATAGTGCTATAAAACAAAACATAATACGTTTGGAAATGTGTATTAAGTAGAATGTTAAAATTAAACAATCAAGGCTTTAAACACTTGTTTGACAACAATGGTAAAAATTAAATACCTTTTATGGTGTCTGACAGAGTTGACATAAATCCAGTTAATTGCAAAAAAATTAGGAGGTTGTTCCTTTACTTGGTGTGATAGCTGATACTTTGGTCTATCAAAATATATATTTCAAATTGTGTTAATATAAGTCAAATATATAGCTCTAAAACAACAACATTTTCTCTCAGCCTCATGGCAAAATGTTTAAAATAGCATGAGATTAGCTATAAAACTGCACATTTGTCTCTCTGCCCCATGGCAAAAGGGGGGGCCTTGCTCGGACCTCGTGGGGGGCCTGTGAAACTGTGCTACGGCACTGATGGGGTACCCTTCTTCTGCACTACACAGACTGTCCGACCGAGTGACCGACCGTTTCATCCAGAGGTATGTTACAGTATTGTTAGTTACTCCAAAAGTAAAATGATGACCAGGGATGAAGTGCTGCTGGAGCTGGTAAAACTATTTCTGGAAAACTATTTCTGATAACTTGTAAATAAATCATTAATTACCACTAAAATGTTATGAAATATGATAGAATGGCAAACCAAATAAATATGATCAGTCTTCATGTTTTACACATTCTCATGATCAGTCTTCATGTATTTCCAGGAGACTTGCTATACAAACAAATATTCTGCAAGAGGACGAAGCAGTGTGTGGTGAAAAAAGTGTACGAGAGGCTTGTCAACCTGGCTGTGGAGCGCAGAAATTATCAGATGGTTGTCTATAATGAGCCAGAGTCACAGCCTCCCAAACCCAACATCCCTGCCAACATCGCCACAGCGCCAAAGCTTGCTAAACCAGCTGCCATTACCCAACACAAGAAGATGTTCACCAGCTTAAGAACATTCTGGAACCTGCCTGGAACATTCAACCAGCACATAATCCATATTCAGTTAGACTGATGTTGTAGTATAATATAGAATGCCTAGTATGCTCACAACTGAATTGTGCTATAGATATTGCTAGATTTTGTACATGTACACTACCGGTCAAACGTTTTAGAACACCTACTCATTCCAGGGTTTTTCTTAATTTTTACTATTTTCTACATTGTAGAATAATAGTGAAGACATCAAAACTATAAAATAACACATATGGAATCATGTAGTAACCAACAAAGTGTTAAACAAATCAACATATATTTTATATTTGAGATTCTTCAAATAGACATACTTTGCCTTGATGACAGCTTTGCACACTCTTGGCGTTCTCTCATGTAGTTATTTTATGTAGAGAGACAGGAAAATCATCCCAAATAGTGTCTAGCGGTGAAGTTTCCCTTTAAGCTGTATGTATCTGTATTTACATTAGGCTACAGTCTACAAACAGCTATACCACGTAGTCATAGGCCTATTAGGCTATAGGCCTACTGCATATTATTGTTGTTTGTTCCTGAACTTGTTCCTCCAGCTATCCTTCAGCACCACAAGTTGGTTCTATTTCTTTAACATCATTATACAATTCAGGCGCTGTCCTTTCAGCACCACGAAGTGCCCTCCAATCGCTTAAAATAACATCTCATTAAGATCTGTTGCCTACGCCTAATAGTCCTACTCATCACTTATTATTATTATTACAAATAGAAGATTATCACTTCTCACAATGGTGCTCGTTTAGTAAAGTTAGATCAAAGCTGAATCAATGTCTCGCAAGATCACATAATGATTCATTTGTATTTTACAGAACCGAATATAATACCAAAGCAGAGTAGGCCTATAACGTTACTGTTACACCAAAAACACTTAATCATTTCTAATGAGATTTTAGGATGGTTAGCTGAAGCTGAATAGTTGAATTTTTTCTCATGCGCCAAAACTCATCAGTGTGCCACTAGGCAGGATATATGCTTTGATTGAAACAAAATACAAGAAACGCTAATAGTTTGTTAACACCATCTGCTCTAATTCTCTCACGAAACAGTAATTCAAGGAATGCATATTCCCATGAAACTAATTGAGATCAATCAAATGATTGGCATGGAAATGCAGTTTGGATGTTTCACCGGTAAAACTTGAAGAATTATCATTCCCGATTGACGGTGATGATGGCCTATTTTGAAATGAGGTAGCCTATGCCTAACTTGGTGTTTGAGCTTATTAAAAATAAAACAGTATGTGTGGGCGTAGGCAGACTTTGCAATTGGAGGATGCATTTTACAGTATGATAAGCTATGCAATTGGCTACATCTGTTGATACAAATGTTGATTGAGGAAATTATGATGTCATTTACTTTTTCTTTGCGCTCCCTCACATAAAACAAATTGCTCTACACCACTGATGATGACACCCATGTTTTGTCATCGACACCCTTCCAGTTATCAAGGTTCTCCATTGCACAGGGACCCTGCAGGGGGCAGACATGATCCCCATATTTGGGATTAGGTAGGTGGGGAGAGCTACTCTTACCTATCAGCGATGTCCCCGAACACCAGTGCTCCGACCAGCACCCCCATCATAAAGGTGGGCTGACACAGCTTGGCCAGCCATTCCCTGTCACACACCAGGTCCCAGTCCGTCACGATGCTCTGATACACCTCACTGTGGTCATACACGTAATGGTAGTTCCCGTCACACTTTTCCGTCGTGCTGTTGACGACCTGCTCGTAGGTAAAGTCTGTGGGGTTAATCCGCTGAGTGCACTGGCAGGTGCTAAGCTCCCACTGTTTGCCTTCCGCCGTTCGCACCACCAAGGGCCCGTTCGCCGGTTTGAAGAATGGTAGCACCTCCTCTAGAGAGGCACCAGTGTGGTTCCCATACAGGACGTCAGTGATGTTACCGGGCGGAGCGCAGACGAAGCTTGGCCTCTCCACGAGGAACACAGAGGCCAGGTAGTGGATTCCGCAGGCTATGGCCTGGAAGACAGCAGCAAAGTACAGACATGCCTGGAACCTAGGAGGCGGAGAGGAGGTGGAGAGGGAGAGAGAAGAGGAGAATCAAGGGGTTCAATAAAAGGATAACATGAGGAAGTTGCACTGTAAAACCAGTTAAGTTGCCAGTTAAATACTGTAATTTAGCTTTACTGTAGGGATGCTGTTAGCTCTTGAAAACCCTTCTGTAGGGTTTTCAGCGCTTAGCTTTGTCCACGGTTGGCTGCGTGTGAACTACAATTCCGAGGCTGTGTTTTAACATTTAGAAATGTCAATAATCATCACTTGCAAAACGGTTTTCGAAACATATGCTGATATGCCCCTTATCTTTCATATCAGCGAGAAAGAATCCTTCAAATAAAAAATATACACTTAATGTAGCAGCTTTTCACAGATCCATACGCTGTGTGTGCCTCCAGATGACAAACTACACTTCCTCCCAAGTTACGCTTACACACAGGTGTTCTGAGCATGCTAGATAGCTAATTAGCACAGGTGGCCGCCTATGTCCTCTGTCTGTCTTCCGTAAACAAGCACTGTAGCATGGAGATATGGCCGTGTGGGAACACTAACCATACGTAAAAATGTATGCACACATGACTGTAAGTCGCTTTGGATAAAAAATTCTGCTAAACGGCATATTAATATTATTAGAACCCAAACCCTATAAAGGTGTGTAGTAATTTTACCTTTTTTACATTATTATTTCTTGCTGATATAAAATATATGTTCCTTATGTTTTCTCGCAAGCAATTTGTTTTAACGCTCAGAACGAGCGTCGAGGCTCGCAACAAAACTCCCCCAGCCAGAAGATACTATCGTCAATAGGTGCTAAAGATAGTTAGCGTCTATGAATGGGTTAGGATGCTGTCAAATGTTTTACAGTAAGAACAACAATGCTGTATTATACAATACAGAATTATACTGTAATCGTTACAGCAACACAGCTGTATTATATAATTACAGTAATTTGCTGGAAACTCTGCTGCCAGTATAATGCTGTAAATTTACAGTACAGCATATTATGGTAATCAGTGTTAGTGTACCAATACTCTTACTGTAATATTTTTACGATAAATTTAATGAATAACTGGATGAATGTAATTCATTGAGGTGTTTGTATTTTACAGTATTTAACTGTAATTGCATGGGATTGGTGCAAGCAGGTTGGCTCCTAGGTAATGTGTTTTCATATTACTGCATATTAAATAATATACAAAAATAATATGAATATTTGGTGTTTAATATCACTTGTACATTTAGAGACCGTAAAAATGCACTATGCAGAAATCGCTCAGCCATTTCCTGGTTGCTAAAACTCTAAAATGTTAGTTTATGTGACAAAACAAGCAAGTATAGTGTAGAGAATCATCGTACCATCTAAACCGCTGTGAACTATATTCTCCATTACCAAAAATATTGTATTTTCAGCTATTTGAAGCTGGTGTACAAAACCGAAAGTAAAAGACGCAAAAATGAAACTTAAGAACGGAAAGAATAGAAATACCACACATAGAACAGATCTACCGCTTCTTAGACTTGCTTTCAATAAGAATGACAGATCTATAACAACCATTTCTATGTGAATTTAGTCAGGTCGCCCCAAAGTTAGATACCGCAGCTTTAATAAAAGCTTCCAAACTTGCAAAACAGACCAAGGACATGGCAAATTCTCAACCATTAAAAGTTTTAGTCTTGCTGCCACTCCATTCTGTTCTTTAAACACATTTAATTGTTGAGGCACTACTACCACATATCAGTTAAATTGGTACAGCATTCTCACTCACGGGTGCAACAAATGTAGCCTCTTACAAGACACGCCTCAAAATATATGTTAATGAGCACAGAAATACCATGCACCCACTAGTGGTGAAAAGGTTTTTGGTGCTCCAAAAATATGGTAGGGTACTGTATTCTGTGGGGTGGAATTACAGTACCATTTGAAATACAGTACTCATTTAGAGTAATGTACTGTTAAACCAACGTTTCATTGGAATTTACAGTATAATTGACCAGTTACTCCTAAAATCACCCAGAGTGCGTTGCGATTCACGGCAATTTACTGTAAATAATTAATAGCTGTTAGTTTTATTGTATAATACTGTAAAAACAACAATACTTTTAAAAAGTGTATGTAACCAAAGAAGAGCATAATTACAACACTAATTCAGAACATATTGTGTGCCTGTGTGTGTGGGGTGGGTGTTGGGGGAGAGAGACAAAGAGAGAGAGGAAGATGGAGATGGAGTTAAAATTGGGATTGGGTACAATCCTAGATCTATGATCGGGACAAATCTATTTGGGGTAAGGGGGTTCAGAGGCGCTTAAACACACAATGGGCAGGAGAGCATCCAGGAGAGAGAAGTCAGCAGCTGCTGAAAATATTATTCCATTTCACTGCCCTTTCAAGAAGATATTTACTAAAATAGTCTGAGCTTCATGCATTTCACCCGACATGATGTTGGCGCATGGAACTGAACATTTGAATCTACAGTAGGCATAAGCTATTACTGTAAAGAAATGCAGTATGTTAGAGTAATTTTTACAGGAGGCTTCCAATTACAGTTAATAACAGTATTTTTCAGCATTTTACCCATAATGCCATGCAATCTACAGCATTAATTCTGTAAAATACATTTAAGGTATTTTACCCTGCATTCTACAGTTTTCCTGTTGAAGTTAGTCTTACAGTGTGCATCAAAGGAATGAAACCATTATTATCCAACATAATTGATGCATGCATTCTTATAAAGTAGCCTAACAACAAAAAAAATCTCCATATGCAAAAAATCCAAACATTTCAAGTGCGCCTAGTACAGTGCCTTCAGAAAGTATTCAGATCCCTTGACTTTTTCCACATTTTGTTACATGGCAAATACTCAACCATCAAAAGTTTAGTCTTGCTGCCACTCCAATCTGTCCCCTAAACACATTTAAAGTGTTATGGTTACATAGTGAGAATGAAAAATATATATATATATATTCTAACAGAGAATGTTTATACAATTTTAACGCGCCAATGATGCAATGCACTACACACCCGTCTCTCGAAAAGCAAGTTCATACCAACTTGAAGAAGGAAGAAAACTGCTGTATTTTGTTTGCAGAGAGAAAGAAAGAAACATCTACTATAAGGGCTGCCATATTTAGGGATACTATGTAGGCTAACCATAAATAGAACCATAATCCTCATAGAGCTATTTCAAAAAAATAACAATTTTGACTATAAGAGGGTGTACGGTCATCATATACCTAGGGAGGGTGGTCGAGTGAACAGGACAGATTCTGATAGTTTATGATAGTAGGGATATACTGATTCAACGCAATAAATATTTTGAAAATGTCATTATTGTTCTTGGTAGCCTACCTTTTGAAGTGTCCAAACTCATCGAATATACGCTCCACTCTCATAATTCGTTGACAGGTCGTGCGCACGACTCTCGCTCGGGTGTGGTGAGTAGCGGATTCTGACTCGCCACTGACAATTTGTATATGTTGGCTTTCACTGGATCCCCGGGTAGCATGGGTGCGCGCTTAGGGGACATTTCCACTCACTGCGTCTAACATGAAAAAATTGCTTTGCAATAACAAAAATTATCCTACTACAGTAAATCATTCATAGATGCTAACTGTAAGACCTCTCTCTCTCTCTGTCCCTCTGTCTCTCACAGACACACACCTGCACTTTTTCCAGGCTTGTGTTTTATGCTTCCTTTGTCTGACACACACAAACTTGCCATTCACATGTGTGTGTCAATCAATCAAATTGTATTTGTGACATGCGCCAAATACAACAGGTGTAGACTTTACCGTGAAATGCTTACTTATGAGCCCTTTTCCAAAAATGCAGAGTAAATAAAAATAAAATAAAAAAGAGTAACACAATAAAATTACAATAACGAGGCTATATACAAGGAGTACCGGTACTAAGTCAATGTGCTGGGGGTAAGAGGTAGTTGAGGTGATTGAGGTAATATGTACATGTACTGTAGGTAGGGGTAAAAGTGACTAGAAAATAGTGTGTGGGTGTGTGTGTACTGTGCTTGCATGTGCGTGTCTGCTGCATGTTTGTGGCAATAATATGTTACAAAAGGATCCATAGCTCCTATTAATGAATGACTGTTAGGCAGAGCATGCCTCTGTTGACTCTATCTGCCATAGGGCAGCTGGGGAAGAGCAGAGGTTTGGGTGGTTCTATTGACTTCCTGTATCCATCCACCCTGCCCTAGTTGGCTACAACAGGTACCATCTGTTTGTGTTAAGAGTGAAACTAAACTTTGACTGACTGACTGACCACCTGCTGGTAAAGCATAGGGCAGAAAAAGACCAATGGAATGGTAGAATTACACCAAATCTGTAAACTGTGTAGCCTTTCTGATAGGCACTTAACACTAGAAGCTCTGAGGCAGTAATTTTGACTGCATATTCTAGTCATATGAATTTAAAATGGAAATATCTCTGCATGCCCCCCTCCTAATATCCTGGCTGGTACACATCTGGACTTTAGCCTACTGTGCTACTGGTTTATGGGGAAAATGGCTGAAATATCATTTGATTATTAACTTTATGTCTATCTACTGAACATGAGCAGCCAAGTATGTTTCAGACTCACTCTTTCCTGGAGGCATCAACAGATACAGTAGCAGTAGTACTACTAGTAACTTTTGATCTCGCAACCTGTGCTCTTATTTTTTTAGGAAGGATCGATTTTGAGCCTTGTAATAGAGGCATAAGAGCACTGTAAAAAAAAAAATGATTCAACGTACAATAGTAAGGCAACCAGCGGCAAAAGGATTGCGAGTTCGCTCAACATTTAGGCCTATAGCTGAACCAACATACATTCTCAAGTTGAATTGTATATTCACTCGACTTTGAATTTTAGGATGAGTGAACATACAATTCAACTTGAGAATTTATTCTACTTTATTTGCATATAGTGCTTTGCCTTTGGAGTAAATTATAGTTACCATGCATGTCTGTATTTGTTAGCGACAGAGACATGATTGTTGTATTCAATGGTTTTCAGTATTGTAGCCTACACTGAGTGTTTAAATGCATTCGGAAAGTATTCAGATCCCTTGACTTTTTCCACATTTTGTTACGTTACAGCCTTATTCTAAAATTGATAAAAATGTGTTTCTTTCCTCATTAATCTACACACAATACCCCATAATGATAAGTAAAAACAGGTTGTTAGATTTTTTTGCAAATGTATATTTACATAAGTATTCAGACCATTTACTCAGTACTTAGTTGAAGCACCTTTGGCAGTGATTACAGCCTTGAGTCTTCTTGGGTATGACGCTACAAGCTTTGCACATCTGTATTTGGGGAGTTTCCCCCATTCTTCTCTGCAGATCCTCTCAAGCTCTTTCAGGTTGGATGGGGAGCGTTGCTGCACAGCTATTTTCAGGTCTCTCCAGATATGTTAGATCAGGTTCAAGTCTGGGCTCTGGCTGGGCCACTCAATGACATTCAGAGACTTGTCCCGAAGCCACCCCTGCGTTGTCTTGGCTGTGTGCTTAGCGTCGTTGTCCTGTTGGAAGGTGAACCTTCGCCCCAGTCTGAGGTCATGAGCGCTGTGGAGCAGGTTTTCATCAAAGATCTCTCTGTACTTTGCTCCGTTCATCTTTCCCACGATCCTGACTAGTCTCCCAGTCCCTGCCGCTGAAAAACATCCACACAGCATGATGCTGCTACCACCATGCTTCACCGTAGGGATGGTGCCAGGTTTCCTCCAGACGTGACGCTTGGCACTCAGGCCAAAGAGTTCAATAATGCTTTCACCAGACCAGAGAATCTTGTTTCTCATGGTCTGAGTTCTTTAGGTGCCTTTTGGCAAACTCCAAGCGGGCTGTCATGTGCCTTTTATTGAGGAGAGGCTTCCGTCTGGCCACTCTACCATAAAGGCCTGATTGGTAGAATGCTGCAGAGATGGTTGTCCTTCTGGAAGGTTCTCCCATCTCCACAGAAGAACTCTGGAGCTCTGTCAGAGTGACCATCAGGCTCTTGGTCACCTCCCTGACCAAGACCCTTCTGCCCCTGATTGCTCAGTTTGGCCAGTCGGCAGCTCTAGGAAGAGTGTTGGTGGTTCCAAAGTTCTTCCATTTAAGAATAATGGAGGCCACTGTGTTCTTGGAGACCTTCAATGCTGCAGAAATGTTTTGGTACCCTTCCCCAGTTCTGTGCCTCAACACAATCCTGACTAGGAGCTCTACGGACAATTCCTTCGACCTCATGGCTTGGTTTTTGCTCTGACATGCACTGTCAACCTTATACAGTGAGGGAATAAAGTATTTGATCCCCTGCTGATTTTGTACGTTTGCCCACTGACAAAGAAATTATCAGTCTATAATTTTAATGGTAGGTTTATTTGAACAGTGAGAGACAGAATAACAACAAAAAAATCCAGAAAAACACATGTCAAAAATGTTATAAATTGATTAGCATTTTAATGAGGGAAATAAGTATTTGACCCCCTCTCAATCAGAAAGATTTCTGGCTCCCAGGTGTATTTTATACAGGTAACGAGCTGAGATTATGAGCACACTCTTAAAGGGAGTGCTCCTAATCTCAGCTTGTTACCTGTATAAAAGACACCTGTCCACAGACGCAATCAATCAATCAGATTCCAAACTCTCCACCATGGCCAATACCAAAGAGCTCTCCAAGGATGTCAGGGACAAGATTGTAGACCTACACAAGGCTGGAATGGGCTACAAGACCATTGCCAAGCAGCTTGGTGAGAAGGTGACAACAGTTGGTGCGATTATTCGCAAATGGAAGAAACACAAAATAAATGTCAATCTCCCTCGGCCTGGGGCTCCATGCAAGATCTCACCTCGTGGAGTTGCAATGATCATGAGAATGGTGAGGAATCAGCCCAGAACTACACGGGAGGATCTTGTCAATGATCTCAAGGCAGCTGGGACCATAGTCACCAAGAAAACAATTGGTAACACACTACGCCGTGAAGGACTGAAATCCTGCAGCGCCCGCAAGGTCCCCCTGCTCAAGAAAGCACATATACAGGGCCGTCTGATGTTTGCCAATGAACATCTGAATGATTCAGAGGAGAACTGGGTGAAAGTGTTGTGGTCAGATGAGACCAAAATGGAGCTCTTTGGCATCAACTCAACTCGCCGTGTTTGGAGGAGGAATGCTGCCTATGACCCCAAGAACACCATCCCCACCGTCAAACATGGAGGTGGAAACATTATGCTTTGGGGGTGTTTTTCTGCTAAGGGGACAGGACAACTTCACTGCATCAAAGGGACGATGGACAGGGCCATGTACCGTCAAATCTTGGGTGAGAACCTCCTTCCCTCAGCCAGGGCATTGAAAATGGGTCGTGGATGGGTATTCTAGCATGACAATGACCCAAAACACACGGCCAAGGCAACAAAGGAGTGGCTCAAGAAGAAGCACATTAAGGTCCTGGAGTGGCCTAGCCAGTCTCCAGACCTTAATCCCATAGAAAATCTGTGGAGGGAGCTGAAGGTTCGAGTTGCCAAACGTCAGCCTCGAAACCTTAATGACTTGGAGAAGATCTGCAAAGAGGAGTGGGACAAAATCCCTGAGATGTGTGCAAACCTGGTGGCCAACTACAAGAAACGTCTGACCTCTTTGATTGCCAACAAGGGTTTTGCCACCAAGTACTAAGTCTTGTTTTGCAGAGGGGTCAAATACTTATTTCCCTCATTAAAATGCAAATCAATTTATAACAATTTTGACATGCGTTTTTCTGGATTTTGTTGTTGTTATTCTGTCTCTCACTGTTCAAATAAACCTACCATTAAAATTTTAGACTGATAATTTCTTTGTCAGTGGGCAAATGTACAAAATCAGCAGGGGATCAAATACTTTTTTCCCTCACTGTATAAACAAGGTGTGTGCCTTTCCAAATCATGTCCAATCAATTGAATTTACCACAGGTGGACTCCAATCAAGTTGTAGCAACATCTCAAGGATGATCAATGGAAACAGGATGCACCTGAGCTCAATTTCGAGTCTCATAGCAAAGGGTCTGAATACTTATGTAAAAATGTTTCTAAAAACCTGTTTTCGCTTTGTCATTATGGGGTATTGTGTGTAGATTGATAAGGACATTTTTTAATTTAATACATTTTAGAAAAGGCTGTAACGTAACAAAATGTGGAAAAAGTCAAGGCGTCTGAATACTTTCCGAATGCACTGTATATGAATATACAGTATATGAATATCTTTAAAATTAAACTCTTGCCGTATTGTATATTGCTCTCCGTTACTTTTTTTTTTGTATCAGCGTTAGCACTGTATACATAATCCAAATTATAGCTCCAAGATGGCGGCAATTAGAAAAATCGAAAAAATAGATTGTGCTGATTTACTGGCACACTGAAACATGTTGCTCGCCGTAGTTTAAGAACTCC